TCAGGCTAGTGTGGTTAAGGTTAAGGCATGCCTTTTACCATAGTCAGTGGCACATAAGAGTGATGTGGCAAGTATATGATATAGCTGCCTTTGACTCTCCAGCTTGAATGACCAGGTATGCATTTTGTAGCTGGGTTGACTTGGGGTGGTCATTGGCACAAGTCAATGGTTCATACTCTGGAGCCATAGCAAGACTCTTTAACTGCTCTGTTATTGCATATCGAGGGCTGTGGGATACAGAGATGAAAATAGTTTCCTTGACTTTTATTTGAATAGTGATTTACAGGTCCTCAGCTACTTATGAGGAGCAACTGTCACTTACAAAGGTGACAGATCCTTAAACTTTAGGAATGGAAACAAACGTTTTATGTTAATTTTTAATGACGAAATATACATTTTAAACTGAATGTGTATATAACAGTATCTGTCATATACCTTATATAATGTAATGCCACATATACTATTCATTATAAATTTTAATTTTCTCATTAGGTTAGCGATGCAACTAAGCTAAGGCCAAAGGCAGAATTCTGTTTTGGTAAGTTCTAGTGTATTGCACACCTGTCAAATTGCTCTTTTTACAATTTGAAGCCAGGATATTTTCTGCAGTTCTATTATTAGATAACACCGGTAGTGTGAGGTTTTTTTAAAGAGTTTATTTATAGTCTGCTTCCTTCCTTATACAAGGGGAAAATGTTGATTCCTCCTAATGGTTTTGAATAGCTTTTTAAAATTGCAGTCTAGAGAGATAAAGTGACCAGGCAACAGCTGTTTCTGGTGGGCTTTTTTGAATCAGTAAGTAATCAAATTAGTGATGCTTGTTTTCAAGATGCCTGTTACATGTCAGCTATGAGCACAAGTAATTTAACTATTGCATTCTTTATTTTAGACAAGAGTATGTGGATATTTTATGGTGATCATATGATTATTAATAATGAGGTGAAAATAGTATTTTTGTTTTTGTTTTTTGTTTGTTTGTTTTTGTTTTTTTTAATTTGTGTCCTATGCTCAGGAAAAAGTTTTGTTAATCTGACTTTGTTTACTGGCGTTTTTATTTCTTTAACATAAGAAAATAATGCTCTAATTTCTTTTTTTTCCCAATAGCACATGTTTGTTTTCCTTTTTCTTTTCTCATTTGCCTGACATTTTATCATAATCTAGAATCATGATGAGCAATTTGGATTCTAAAAATCCTTGGCAAAGACTGGGATTAATGATTTTGCTGTCTGTAAACAGCTACCCGTTTTGCTTTTTGCCGGAATAGGTTATCTGTTGCTGGTTTTTTTTATCTCAGCATGCTATATGCTGGGTACAGTTTGCAGCTGATGGAATTCACTTGGACCTGTCCTGTGTATGAGGATAGAGGCAACTCCTGTTATCATATGATTTTAGATTATGATCATTCTGGACAAAAGCAACGTAATATAGTAAACATCCTCTTACTGAAAACGCCTTTATGTTTGTTCTCACTGGCTGTTTATTGCTAGAACTGCTGTGTCAGAATCCCATAAAATTACTACAAGAAATCAAAAATTGAAAACTGACAAATATTGCTTTTCTTTTCTAAGGATTATAATAGTGTTGGTCTTTAATCTAAATGTCTGAATGAGCTGTGCACAGTGCAGCACCTGAAGAGAGGGGAGGGAAAAGATGGCTCCTGGAATCCTTGAGGCTGCAGGAGAGCCCTTTTGAATCAGCTGTGCAAATTTAGAGCAGCCTTACTCCTAAGTGCCGTTCAGGGCTACTGTAATTTCTGTCTGCATACTGTGGTCCCAGTGGGTAGCTGGAATTGTTACGTATAGTCCCTTCCTTGCCTTCCTTTTTCATGTCTTTGTGACAAGGTATTTAGCAGAATTTGCAGATTTGTTAGAAACTGACGGGCCATGCTGTGAGCTCTTCTACTATGGCCTTTATTTATGGTATAGGCAGATGAACTAGTTACCATGAGGTAAAAGGTGCATCACTTTTGTGTGCACTCTTATTTTGTGGTACATAGGGGTGTCCCAATAAAGATTTTCTTGGCTGACACTAATAGCTGATTATTAATCAGCCAGATTGGCTAATGCCAATCTGATAACCAATTTACAGGAATGCGGCTGGACAGTGTGGAGAGCAGCTCCCTGCAGGGAAGTCTGTGGAGGAGAAGCGGCATGGGGAAGGGAGATCAAGGTCCCCACGGTGAGGGAGGGAGTGGGGCTGGGGTCGCTGCCCAGCCAGAGCAGTGAATGGGACCTGGGGCAGGGGGTGAGACAGAGCTGTGGGTGGCTCATCCAGGGGATCAGCGTCCTGGTGCCTAAAAATGGCAGTGGGGGTGCTTGGAGTAAAGTTTGTTGAATGAGCTTTAGTTCAAATGTTGTCGCCACCATTTTCAAGTGCTGGGATGCTTTTAACCAGAGTGCAGCGCGGGTGAGTGCAGCCTGCCCACTGTGGACTCGGGGCTCTCTGCCCTGCTGCTTTTGCCACGGGGGCTCTGTGTCGGCTATATGCCTCCTGCCCGCCCAGCAGCAGGAGGCGCAACTCGCCACCCCCACTGCTGCAGGGTGGGCAGGGGGTATGTAGCTGACAGGCAGCGGAGTAGAGAGTCTCAAGCCCACAGCAGGCAGCCTGCATCTGCCCTGCGCACAAATCTGGGGGGCATATGTTTCCCCCACATGCTGTGCGCAATGGCGGGGAGCTGTCTCCCTCCCCCAAATGCCCTCTGGACGAGTCGCCTGTGGCTCTGTCCTGCTCCCTGCCCCAGCCCCTGATCCTATCCACTACCCTGGCTGAGTAGCGCTGCCAGCCCTTGCC